TCTCTCTCTCTCTCTCTCTCTCTCTCTCTCTCTCTCTCTCTCTCTCTCTCTCTCTCTCTCTCTCTCTCTCTCTCTCTCTCAAACAGTGTGTGTGTTTGTGTGTGTGTGTCGAATCCAATCCACGTCCAATCCACTACTGACGGAGTCCCAGTTGCTGTGCTTTCCTTCAGCGACTTTGATGTTTCAGTTCAGCAAGTCAACTTCAATGTGTGTTTAAAATTTAAATTTCGACCACAACAGCCCATATTCCACCCAGACGAGCAGATTCGAGTTGAGCCAAGCCCAACAACAAAAGAATTTATAGCGTCTACCACACGACACAAATCATAATAGAACCGTTTAGGACTGTGTTTAGCTGGGGTTTCTTCGGGGCAACAGCTCCTCTTTTACTATGCCTCGCACATACAAGGCCACCCACGTTGACGGTGGTTTGGGGGTGGCTGCCCACACCCACGCGTTGCCTTAAACGGCCCACATGCACATTATAAAGGAGGCAGAGTAAAGTGGAAGGTACACTCCTGAGCATTTCACTTCAGATCTTCATACTCCTGTTCATTTCGCTTCATATCTTCAGCTTACATTGTGTCTGTTGTTCGTCTTCATACTCCTGTTCATTTCATTTCAGACATTCGACTTCAACGCATGTGTTGTCATATTCGCTATACACTAAAAAAAAGCATGACTGTGCATGTGTCCATCTTTCTCTCCACAAACAGACATGTGCACACTAATGCAAAGAGAATGTAATCCACGCATGCACATGAACACAGGCACACATACATACGAAAGGACCCCAGGAGGAAGATATACAGTGATTCGCCCTGCATTCATAAAAGACCTCCACACACATACATATAGCATACACAGGCTTCACCATAAATACATCACACCCACACACACAGGCACACATACATATTACATACAGAGTCTTCACAATCAATACACAAACTCACCTTGCCAAGAAGTGAGTCGTAGCTAGGTGGGACCAGATAGTCTGCGTAGACATGGCTGTCCATACGCACGAAAGGACCTCCAGGAGGAAGATACGCAGTGATTCGCCCTGCATTCATAATCAATTCATAGTATTATTTAGTAATTTTATACCGCATATACGTTGAGAGTCCTTCTTGCTACATACAGGTTGTCGTGGAAAAGTGCACAGTGAAATGCAGGAAGAAGGGAACAAAGGGCAAAAAAAGGGGGACTGTGGGCAACTTCAGGGGTATAACTCACGTTACGTCAAGTACTCGAACACGCACATGGAGTCTTTCCTGTTGAGAACGCATTTACATGCCCTGATTTTTTATTTTTCATTTTTTTTTATCAATTTACATACCCTGCTTCATGGGCAGATGACTGAGGAGAACAAGAAACCCCAGTTCCCAAAAAGAAAACCGATTGAAAGAGGAAAAAAAAAAAAAAGGCAAGCGTCAAATGCAGGATAAAACACTCTTTCATGCAAACAAAGAAAGAATTTACAACATTTGCTGCCAAGTACAATATCCTAGATTTGTAATGTAGTAACATACATATACTTAGTTAATATCCCACATTTAGGTTGATTCGACCCTGTGTAGCACACGGAACGCGTTCGGAGCTGTTGCAAACGCCCAAACTTGGTTTTCGATTTTGAACTCGTGTTTGGCTAAGAATTTGAACATGCATCCCAGGGAGAAGAAGTTTGTATTATTATGTTACATAACAATGATAACATATAATTTTTTAAGATTTTTCTGCAATTTAAAAAAAACTATACATATATTTTCATTCCGCATTCGGAGGGTTTTGGTGCTCGTTCGCGTTCGGTCGTGAGCATTCGGGTTCGGTCGTCGAACTCTAACACGATGCTACGTAGATTCAACCCAATTCACTGTGCTGAACAACAATTGGACAGTGAGGGGCATACTCACACCAGGCCCTCAAAATCTCACAATATCTCAAAATCGCAAAATCGCAAAATGAGCAGCCAGATATAGCCCTCTGCTTACACAAGTACCACTCGATTTGTGTGCTCATTTCGCAATTTTCTGCGGCTAGTGCGAGTATGCCCTCCTACGTGAAGAAAAAGTGAACAATAAGCGAAGCAAATTTGAACACGCAGCGATCTTGCAAAACAGGGTGCTACACAGGTCAGTCTCATAAAAGGGGGTCGAAACTGGGCAGAGGGCAACCATCCATTCATGATTTATATCATCATAAGAAATCTTTCCCCCCCGACTCGACTCTTCCGTCAACTCGGGGCACAAGACTGATGAGCAGCATGTTCAAAACCGGCCAACCTGGTCCTGGGCGGAACCCTTGGAATGCATCCTCAGCATTTATTCGGCACTCGATAGCATGGCCTGAAAGTTTCAAATCATCCTGTTGCAAAACAGAACGCCAGAACACCCAATGATTGGGACATGCGTTGGCACAAAAACGCAAATGAATGTGGTGGCCCAAGACAATGCAGAAAAATTGTCAGCATTCACTCACACTTGACAATGTTGACATCACTCGAAAATTCATCGCAGAAATTCCACCCTCAGATTCCTTTCAGTTTATCCATCTCAAATACCCTAAGCCCTCGCCCACACACCACACAGTCATTTCTCAAAGGTCTAGAAGGCTCCGAAGACATCGCATACACTCCCTCCCTCCCTCCCTCCCTCCCTCCCTCCCTTCCTCCCTCCCTCCCTCCCTCCTCCCTGCTAGACTGCATCTACACTCCCTTTCCCAGTGTACCAGTGCTTGTTCAGTGATTCATGAACAAACACTCAGATAGAGGGGATTGTATGGAGAGAGAGAAAGAGAGAGAGAGAGAGAGGGAGGGAGGGTACGGGGGTTGGTGGGGGGGGGGGTTGTTGGATAGACCCCTAAGAAATGGGGTTCTGACAATTATACTACATCAGTTCACAGCTTCATCTGGTGGAAAAAGGCATAGAAGCAACATATCAACACTTTGGCACTCTTCTGAGGGCTAAGGCCCTAAGGGGCTTACAACAAAGGGGGCCATAGGCTCACGACACGCTTTCCACTAACGAGTAGAACAAGTCTGGTATCAGCAGCCTCTATTCTATGTTTCCTTTTATTAATAGTTTAAAATTTTTTAGTTATTAGCCTATGAAAAATTGATAAGATAAGTGTATATTGAAGTTCCAGGTTGATTGTGAGTCGGATGCGTAGGGCTGGGTTGGGTGCTTTAAATAGTCTCACGCTGCTCATCTTTCATGATTCGTCTTGATGATGGTTCTTCTTTTCTCAAGGGCACTACTGGTTAACAGGTGGCAGGTGGTGTCATTTTCAGCGAACTTTCCACCGAAACTGCCATATTTCCCTGAATTTTTTTTATTTTTATTTTGTGTGTGTCTGTGTGATATATATGTGATTTAGGGTGTATCTGCATTCAGTTTCCACATATTTGGACCTATAACAACTTCGGGAAAAAAAATTGGCAAACTCTGAAAGCTACTCCGAATAGGGTTTTATTATAGTGCTTTCGAGTTTTTTTGCTTCATAATTTTTTAAGCCTGTTCTCAGGGTTGCATCCCTACCGACCGCCGACCCCAAACGCCGACCGTATTGCAGCCGACCGGTCCGCAGTCCACCAACCAGTCAGGGTTAAAAAAAGAAAAGAAAAGAAAAAAAAACATCCACTGATTTTTTTTCAAATCTGAGTTGGGGGCTGTGCTGCGCTTGCTGAGCACAGCACAAATCCGCTGAGAAACTTTGGGGGATAGGGGGGGTATAGGAG